GCACATACACTCTCTCGCTGCACACACACACGCATGCGCACACGCACACACACGCACGCGCACTTACACACACACACACACTCACACGCGCATACACACACACACACACACACACACACACACACACGGCGCGCTCTGTTGTGGAAGCGGAAGGGAATCATTTCAGGGATGGGCAGCTCCTGCGTGGCTGATCCAAAGTTGTGGCCAAAGTCAATGCCAACAACACCTCCCCTGCCACCACCCAACGGCGATGAACACGTGAGCAAGTCACACAACATCGTGCGCGAGACAAGGCAAGGCACACAATAGCAAGCTTGTGCTTGTTCACTCTCTCACACACACACTCACATCCACACGTACTCACACACACACGTACTCACATTCACACTCACATTCACACTCACACTCACACTCACACACTCACATCCACACGTACTCACACACACACACACACACACACACACACACACACACACACACACACACACACACACACACACACACACACAAACACTCATGACCACGATTGCAGCGCACGTGCGAAGGTCGATCATGGAGTTGCTGAGATGGCGGTCGCCAATGCCGAGAATGTATTGGCAGATGTTCATGGTGGCGAGCGTGCGCCCAAACAGCTGGCGGGTGGTGAGGTATGCCTCTGGTGTTGTGGACAGATGCAGGAGGGCGTCGCGAAGCAGTGTGGGCCGGACCAGCGCCTGTCGCTCCAGGAAACTGCGAGAAATGTCTGGAACGAAGACACGAGACCACTGGCGGTGAGACGATGATGCACGGGCAGCAAGGCAGACGGGACAGCAACAGCACACGAAGCGCGCAATTTGGTGACACGTGACGATCACGGACCTGAACGCTTTGCTTTGGTCATGACGCTGCTGTACATCTTGAGTGGACTGGGGTCCTTCGAGAAACGGTTCGCAAACTGGGAAAAGTGGTTCTGTCACGCAGGCGATTGTTTGTACATATGTGCGTGTTGTGTCGTCGCACAGCTTCAGCGTGTGTACCATGCACTCATGCCTCACGCAGCAAGGGATGCCATCGCACAGCCAACAAGAACAGCACGCCAGACAAACAGTGTGGGCACCTGTGGGAGTTGTGTCGCCTTCCGCTTCTTTGCATCCTCTCGCTCTGCGTCCGTCATTCCCAGGTTGATCATCTCCTTGAACACACACGAGTTGGGCACCCACTCCAACATGCCGATGCGAGTGGTCATGGGCACAACATTGTACGTCCTGTGTGCGCGTGCGTGTGTGTGTGTGTGTGTGTGTTTATGTGTGCATGTGTGTGTGTGTGTATTTTAGTCGGAGCTCGAAAAGACCAGCAAATAACCGCACGCATGTACACACAATGCGCCGCACCTGAGGCTGAGGCCGCGCTCGCCGCAGGCTGGGTCGGCCGCCAGGGCCTGGTTCATCACTGCAAACAGCTGCTCCATGCGCGCATCTGTTCGCAGATCCTCGCCGGCCTTCACCAGGAACCGATACTCCCGCTCGTCGCTTCCACTGTAGGATGATGGCGTGGGATGGTGTAGGCATGTGGGGTGTTTTTGTACATGTATGAGATACAACATACACAAGTTATGCGAGGTGTTGGGGTCATTGTGACATAATAACAGTGTGTGTCCTCCAGGAACGTCAACACATGCACCACGGCATGGGTGCATGCGCGGAGAGCGCCGAACGACAAGTGTGTGTGTGTGTGTGTGTGTGTGTGTGTGTGTGTGTGTGTGTGTGTGTGTGTGTGTGTGTGTGTGTGTGTGTGTGTGTGTGTGTGTTTGCGGACCGGAATGTGAGGCGCATTGGGCGGCGGATGGAGGCCATGATGAGCAGTTTCTCGTCGAAGCCTTCAATCTTCGCGTGCTCTTCGGGAATCGGCCTGGCACACACCAAACGCAGTAGTTGGAACCAAAGATGCGTTGCACGTCAGCATTTTCTAACCATCTGCAAGTTCAGAAAACAAAAACAAAAAACAGCAAACGCACACACACACACACACACACACACACACACGCACTCGCACACACACACGCACTCGCACACACATACATACACACACACACACACAGGACTAGGCTGCACTTACATCTCTGTGCCTCCGTATTGTCCCGGGATTTCAATGTCAAACACAGCGCCTGGCGACCTGTACTTTGACAGCCAGGGTGAGTACTCCTTCAGCGTGCGTGGGGGCTTCTTGGTGTCATACTCCCGCAGCTTGGCCTTCAGCACTTTCTTCACCTGAATTGGCGGTTGCAACAACAATAATAACAATATCAATTACAACAGCAGCAGCAGCAGCCAGCAGTAGCAGTGATGCGGGTTGGTGATGACATGTCGTGCTGACTCAGTGACTTGAATACCAACACGAGACACGCGCACAGCAAACAACGCATACAACCCGCTGTCACCACCACTACCACTACCATGGCTCGACATGATTGAGGGCGTCATGCGTCACCTTTGCGTAGGCCTTTGCGTCCATACGCAGGAGCTTGCTGCCGTCCGTGCCAAACTGGTCCATGAAGTTTCGCGACGCCTTCTTTGCAGCCGCCTTCCACGCAGAGCCGACCTCACGATCAGAGGCAGTCGTGGACCTGTTGCAGTTGGCACAGGATTGAGGGGAGGGCGAGGGAGGGGGAGGGGTGAGGCACGAGGGACGACGAACATTCAAGCGCATACACACTTGCGGTTACAGGCGCTGTCGCAGAAACAACAAACAAACAAACTTACGATGTGACGAGGAGTTCCGACTTCAAGTGCTTGAACGCCGTCAGCAGCGCGTCTTGGTCGCGCTTCTTGATGGCTTGATCCTGCTCCTCCAGCCAATCCATGTATGCCATCACGGGGTTGGTCAGGCACTTGAGCTCCGTCACAAAGCGGCGCAGGTGGTCTGTTGTCACCATGCGCACCAGATTGGTGAAGAAGGTGCGTTGCGTGCTTGAAGCAGCGCCCGAAAACTTGAGCTTCTCTTCGCTCAGCATCACGGGGAAACACAGCGCCTGTGGGTACGAGGACGCAATCGTCTTCAGCACTTGCTGCACGACCGGTGCCTCGGGTGCATCCAGAATCGCCTACAAGACAGTGCGCGCGCGTGTGCATGTGTGTGCATGTGAGTGCATGTGTGTATGTGCATGTGTGCGTGCGTGTGTGCATGTGTGTATGTGCATGTGTGTATGTGTGTGAATTGTGTGTGTGTGTGTATGTGTGTGAATTGTGTGTGTGTGTGTATGTGTGTGAATTGTGTGTGTGTGTGTGTGTGTGTGTGTGTGTGTGTGTGTGTGTGCAGGAATGGCCAAGACCAGGCGAGCATGCCCCCTGAGCTCATGTCCTCCGGCGTTGCGGTACAACAGCCATGCACGCCATCATACAACCAACTCACGAGCATCTGTGGGATCCAGTTGAGGAACATCCAGCAGGGCACGGACGTGGTCGCGCTCGCCAGCACGCGCTGCAGGTGGTCGCTGTCCGTGGCTGTAATCGGTGCAGTCATGTGGCGAGCGTTGTTGTTGCGTGGTGGTGGTGGCGGTAAGTTCTTGGCGGTGATAGGGTGGGCAACACGCTAGCAAACGCAATACAGACAACGTGCGAGAACGGGACCAATGAACATGTCGGCTGCACGAGTGCTGACAACAGTCGGGGCACTGATGCAATGCCAAACGCCTCTCACCAAGATTGAGCAACTGCGGAAAGTACTGGCGCATCAGAACGTTTCCAGACCTGAGTGCAATGAGCAACGACAACCACGTGAGGCGAACTAAACCCAGATGCTAACCGCACAGCACAAACGATCCCCACCACACACATGCACACACACACACATACACACACATACATACGCACATACGGCAGCACAGGCAACACGTGTGCATGCGTGCGCGGCACGTGAGGACGCACCGCATGGCGGCGAGCGCCGTTTCAACAAAGACTTGCTTGACCCGGCCCATGCTGTCCTTGGGCATGGCAATCCTGTCTTGCAGAACATCGGCGCAAAACTCCGCAAGCCGCACAAACGCGTTTAGCGTTTCGCTTCCATAGGCCGTGGCCGATGGGAAGAGGACATCCAGCGGCTTGTTATTGAACTTTGGCGCGTGCGAGGGCACGTTGCCCACCCGATCGCCAAACGGAGACACATATGCAAACTGCCCTGCGCGGCGCTTGGACGGGACCTTGCGCCAGCCGACAGGGAGCGCCTTGGGGTCTGTGGGCGCACGCTGGGCCGTCTCAAGCAGCACGTCAAACGCCCGCACGATGCACCTGCGACGGAGGTGACGAAAGAATGGCAGGCGGTACAGGAGGACGTTACAGTCATGGTGGACCTCGAAAACATGGCGCAAACAATGCCCATTGCACACACACACACACACACACACACACACACACACACACACACACACACACACACACACACACACACACACACACACACACACACACGCACACACACACGCACGCACGCACGCACGCACGCACACACACACATGCACGCACGCACACACACATGCACACACATGCACGCACACGGAGCAAGGTGCTTACTTCTCGCCGGCCCGTGTTGCATCGGGCGCATCCACTTCTGCAATGATGTGGTCCCACAGCACTTTGTTCTCGTCCGTTGCAGGGCACAGCGGCACAATCTGCGGCCGGTGACGTGATGCGCAAGCAGGGGACACTGTGAGATGCCAGAGACACAGGAGCACACCGCAAAACGAACAAACATACAAACAATGCGAACAAACACACGAACAATGCCAACAAACACACAAGCAAACACACACACACACACACCTTGCCGAGGCTGAGCAAGACCTCTGCCTTGTAGAGCGAGTGTGCGCCCGACTTTGACGGCGGAAGATCAGCGCTGCACTTGTTGAGGCGGTCGAGATCACGGGCAAACGCGCGGAAGTAGTGTTTCTGCTCGCGAACACCGAGGTTGAACTCGTGAAGGTGGTACGCCACCAACCCATGTGCCTGATGAAACGATGAAGCCGTGCAAGAGGTGTTGACGGTGGTGGCGATGGCAGCGGGTATGGTATTGTGTGTTGTGTGTTGTGTGTTGTGGTGTTTGCGTGAGTGGGGCGGACCAGAACGAGCTTCATCAAGCAAGTCGCAAGCAAGTCTGAAGCAAGGTGCTGATGGTCAAACGCTGCAACGGCATACACAAATAAAAGCAGGGGTCATGTTCGGGCAGCAAACACGGGGGGTCGACAAGACCTGTTGCAGGTTGAGATCCAGACGCGTGTCGTCATCAAACGTGTATGTGTTGAGGATGTGGTGGACGATCTTGTGGTACTTCTCCGCCACCTTGAGCGGTCCTTGTTCGCTGCTCTGATGTGCCATGCGCAGGCACTGCTCAGCATCCTCAACTGTGGTCAAGGCAGCACGAAAAACACAGAGCAAAGGCAGACAAGGGTGAATGCACGCGCACAATGGGTTGTCAGAGCCAGTGACAGGAGAAACACACACACAAAAGAAAAAAACACGCGCACATATTTGCAGTACACACACACACACACACACATCCTTACACACACGCACCAACAAGGCGGCGGCGAATGCGTGCGGGCAAAGGGGCGCGAGAATCTGTGAGATCAACTTGTTGCAACATCTCCGCTGCTTTTGCGCCGTAGCGTGGACGATAGCAGCCCTGGATGGACGTGGTGGAAAGACGGGAGATGAGTGGGGGCGTTGATGGCGAGTGGGTGTGTCGTGGGTGCGGTGGAATGGAAGAACAAGAAACCGAGAATGAGAATGGAGTGAACAGAAAACACGGCAAGAAAGTCTCAAACAACCATACCACCTCCACCTCCAGCAGTGCACGCGTGTGCAACGTCGAGAGCATTGGTGCGAGTGGTCTCACGTGGATGATCTTTGAAAAGTAGACGCGGCGAAAGATGGTAACCTCGTCCCACACGTGGATGGGGTCCTTGTATGGCGTTGGCGTTCGCTTGGACCACGACGACAGCAGCGTGTTCACGCTCGTCTCCGAGGCAAGGTTCGTCTCCTGCCCAACAAAGTCAAGGAACTCTTGAAGCTCCACCATGCATTGCAGCCGCTGTGGAAGCGTCGCGTGACACGTGTGTGTGTGTGTGTGTGTGTGTGTGTGGGGAGAGTGGGATTTGCGTAAGAGGCACGGTGTGCTCAAACTCATGCTCACACTCACACACTCGTGCTCACACTCACACACTGACACTCCCACTCACGTACGCATACATACACGCACAAACACACCCACTCACATACACATAGACACTCCCAATTCCACTCACAAACACGCCACAAACCTGGAGGGACGCGCGGCGGGTCTCCGTCATGAGCGGGCTGAGCGTCGTCCAGTCGTCCAGAAACCGCTGCAGCGCCTGCGAAAGGTGATAGCGCGCAAGATCAAAGTCCTCACGCAGCACGCTCAGCATGGCAAGCTCCATGGCAAAGTGGTACTGCAGGTGTGCCCAGCGGTCGTCGTGCGGGCGGGCAGCTTCAACAAACGCCTGCAGCTGCGCAATCTTCGTTGGCGACGCCTGGGCAGCAGCGCCAACAGCCACCACTTGCTCGCACGCATGGCGAAGGCGGGCCTGCGTGGAAAAGGTAACGCGGAGAGTGTGCGGCACAGGGGTCAAGGTGATGGTGAACCAAGGAGACAAAACACGCGGGCTGAGTGAGCAATGACAAAGGGCACGCGTGTGAACGTGCGACACACACAAACACAAACACACACACACACACACACACACACACACACACACACACACACACACACACACACACACACACACACACACAAAGGACACAAAAGCACACAAAAGCACACACACACAAAACACACAGCACACACGCACACACGACTGCGGAAATGCCGAGTTCAAGACGTACGGTGATGAGGTGTGGGAGGTGGCGCTGGAGGAGGCGCGGCTGCACCCAGATGTTGTTGGCGTCAATGACCTCGGCCAGATCCGTGCCTTCGCCATACTCCACATCGGGGTTGATGCACGTGAGCGTGTTGTTCTCCAACTCACCCCAGTCGCACAGGCGCAGGCTGCACTCCGCTGTTGCAGCAGGCACGTTAGGGGGGGGGGGGTGTTAAATGATGTGAGCAGGATGGCGATGAAGTGACAGCAAGCGCAGGACCAAGCGCAAAAAAAAAAATCAATTAAAAAGCCGGGTGCGGCACACACACACACACACACACACACACACACACAACACACACACACACACACACACACACACACACACACACACACAAACACACACACAAAAACAAACAAACAAACAAACAAACACACACAAACAAACAAACAAACAAACAAACAAACAAACAAACAAACAAACAAACACACACACACACAAACAAACAAACAAACACACACACGCACACACACACGCACACGTGCATCCCACGACGCCTGAGCAACCTCTAACACGCATCTCCCCTCGCTCGCCATCTTACCGAGCGTTTCTTCCCACAGGTCGACTTCACATGCCGGCACGTCGTCATCTTCCTCGTCCTCCTCCTTGAACATGCACTCCTTGTATACCTCCGCTGCTTCGTCAAAGCGACCCGCCGCCTCCAGCCGCGCCGCTCGCTGCGTTGCCTCGCTCGACGTCTGCATGACACACAGGCACACATGTACGAATGAGTGAGTGAGTGTGTGTGTGCGTGTGTGTGTGCACGCGCGTTTGGAGTAATGGAACAGTTCTTGTGCACACCGCACAAACACGCATTTACACCCTCACGCACACATGTGAGCACACACACACACACACTTGTACACGCACTGACACACTGACACACGTACACACACACACATACTCACATACTCACACACACGCGCGCACACACACACACACACAACACCACAGCACTACAACGACAGCACCTGGTTTGAGAAGATGCCGTGGAGGGTGTCGTAGTCCCCGAGTTCCTTGAAGAGCCGGCCGAGATAAATCCACCGCTCAATCTCGTCATCGGTCAGACCGTTGCGGGCGCGGCGCATCTTGCTTCGCTTGGACGGCTGCATTGCTGCTTCCTCCTCCGCCGCAGCCAGCGTGCTCTCAAGCAGCAGCGCACCCGTGTGGAAGGATCGCCCAGCCGCGCTCGTCAAACTCACCGTCATAGGGCTGACGATGGCCGGATCCGAGGCCCGCATGAGGTTGTGCAGCGCAGCGATGAAGGGCGTGTACCCCTTGCGCGTCGCCTGCAGCAGGCCGTTGACGGCCTTGTTGTACTCGGCCTTCATGTTGGCGGCGTCGCGCTCAGACAAGATGTCGGGGAGTTCGTGCAGCACGCCGTAGAAGAGCGACTCAAACACCATGCGAGCCAGCTGCGGGTCGCGCTGGGCCAGGCCTTGCAACGGCTGCAGCAGTTCACGCTGCTTGATTTGGATGTCGGGGAGCTGAAGCAGTGGAAGAATGTCGCCAACAAGTGGTTTGCATGTGGTTGTGCCGTTGTGTGTCGTTGCGGGGGTTGCGGGGGTTGCGTGGGGGTGTGAGGTATGTGCAGTGCACAAAGAGCAGAGAGGGGCAGAAACACAAACGCCCAACAGCCACAAGAATTGTGATAACAAAATGTAGCAGCAATGGTCACGACAACAGTGGCACCACCACCACCACCAACAACAACTTAAACAACAACAACAACAACTTAAACAACAACAACAACAGCAGCAGCAGCAGCAGCAGCAGCAACTTAAACAGCAACTTAAACAGCAACTTAAACAACTTAAACAGCAACTTAAACAACAACAACAACTTAAACAACAACAACAACTTAAACAACAACAACAACAACAACAACAACAACAACAACAACAACAACAACAACAACAACTTAAACAACTTAAACAACTTAAACAACTTAAACAACTTAAACAACAACACAACAACAACTTAAACAACAACAACTTAAACAACTTGAACAACAACAAGCAAACAAACAAACAAACAAACAAACAAACAAACAAGCAAGCAAGCAAGCATCGCCTGAGACATGGACATGGGTTGTTGACCCACCTCGCCTGTCCTGTATGATCGAAACAGCGTGACCTGGGCCGCACGCGCCTTGCGCCTCAGTTCAATCAACCGCCTTGCCTCTTGCTTGCGTGCAGCCATGCGCTTGGCGTGGAAGATGGCTGCCTGCGCCCGCTTGTCCTTCGACTTGACAAACCGGCGCCTGAGCCGCTGAATCTCTCTCGCCTCGCGCGCCTGTCGCTCCGCTGCACGTTGTGGTGTTGCCAGCGAGGGATCCACGCTCACGTTCGCCCCGCGATTGCGCCGGCGCTCAAACAGCAGCACCTGCTGCGCGGCCGTGTACTGCGTGTGCGTGAGCGTCTGCCCGGAGATGCCGCCCGGTTCAAAGGTGGCGGCGGTGGCGGCGGTGCCTGTGAGAGAGGCCATGGTTGGCGTGAAGGCCAGCGACGCCTGCGTTGCGCGCACGCCGCTAAAGTCCTCATCTTCGCCCTCACCCTCGCCCGCACTGGCCTGCGACTGTTGTGTGGCCGCAAAAAGCGGTGTCATGTGCGCGTTCCGCTGCCGCCACGACGCGTCCACGCGATAATTGCGCCAGGTACTGCTGGAGAGTGGGCGTGCAAACAGCTCACGGTCGTAGTCTGGGCTGTGCTTGGTGAGCTGTAGCATCACGTTCGTGACAAACTGCAGATACGCTTCCTCAGCCTCCGGCACATACAAGCTCGTCAGGCCATCATAAAACCGTTGAACCTGCGTACGTGTGTGTGCGTATATGTATGTGTGTGTGTATGTTTGTTGTCGGAAAGGTTGTGCGTGAACATCATAAGATTGCGTTGTCACTGCCTCGTCAGCCACATCACATGTCTCCTCCTTATATGCACCACCGCCTGTATTCCCTTGCGCCCCCTCCCCCCCCCCAACCCAACCAACACTCCACCACATCTGCGACGATACCGGGTTGCGTGCGAGGCGCTTCTCCTGGTCCCAGTAGGCGACAATGGACTGCCGCAGCTTGGGGCTCGAGTCCTGCAGCCCAAGCAGCAGGTGCGTGCGGGCGAGCTGTGCAATCTCGGTCAGCGCCGCCGTCTCATCGTCTGCCAGCACCACGTCCCCGCGCTCATGACTGCACATCAGAGACACGTACGCGTGTGTGGATGAGTAAATGGGACACAACATTAGCATCAACAAAGGCACGACACAGAGCGACTGCTCATTGCACGTCGTCGCTCTAAGAGCGCGCGCACACACACACACACATGGAGCCAACAGGCAAACAGAAATGCACAAACACACAGCGCAACAACCATCCGTCCTACACGTGCTCGAACCTGAGCTTCTGGTCGTAAACGGCCATGAGAATGTCGTATGCGATGGCGCGGACGGTGTAGTCGTCGTGGGAGCAGCAGTTGGCCGTCTGATTCGTGCAAAGAAGGGCAGAGGAGGGGCGATGTTCGCAAGCAAGCAGGTTGTGGGGCAAATGACTCAGTATGAGGGGTAGGAATGCATGCAGAGACGATGATGCAACGGTGGTTCATTTGACATGGTTTCCCACTTTCACATACACACACACAACACACACACACAACACACACACACACAACACACACACACACACACACAACACACACACACAACACACACACACAACACACACACACACAACACACACACACACACACAAACAAACACACACACACACACACAACACACACACACAAACAAACACACACACACACACACACAAACACACGCAAACACACAACACGGACACGCACCACGGAGGGGAGGAACTGTTTGATGCTGGAAGCGTTCAGGTGGTGCAGGAGCACTTTCAGGATGGAGAGCACAACGGCCTGTGTCTCTGTGTGGTGGTGCTTGATGAGGGACAGCAAGCCTTTGCCCTGCAATTCCCTAAAGAGATCGGGAATGTCCTCTGCGCGCCACAGCAGCGTCTCCAGCGCCATCGTCTGCACGAACCACATCACCGTGAGGGCTGGATGGAGGGACCGATGGATTGAAATGGAGGCAGGAGGTACAATGTGTGCAGATACACACTTTGCAACCGTCCACGGAACACGAACCACAGATGCCAGTATTGTGTACACACACACCACACACATGCACACACACCACACACAACACACACAGACGCACAAACGCATCACCTTGAATTGGCCGGGCAGGGATGGTGCCAAGAAGAGGAGACGCTGAACAAAGTGATCGACAACGGGAGGATGGCCCGTGTTGACGTTGCACAGCTCGTGCAAGCACGTGATCAGCCGTTCCTTGCTCGTTGCATCATCGTCCTTCTTCAACTGGTCCAACCGCGCAACCACCTCGTTCATCAATTCCTGCGTGCATGTGAGCGCGTGTCGAAGTGGAACAAGCGTGAGGAGGGCATCACAACTCAACAAAAGCAAGAACGCAAGCACACATACACGCGCCAAAGCACACACACGTGCACGAAAGTACAATTCACGCACACACACACACACACACACAATGACGCACAACTCCCGATCCAACGCACATCCAAGAGCCGGCCGCGGCCCTTTGACTTGAAGTGGCTGAGGAGCATGCCTGTGACAAATGCAGCAGTGCGATAGACACTCCTCGACTTGAACATGAGATTCGCCACCAGGATCTGGAAGAAAGAGCGCATGGAGAGACCTGCCTCCTCCACATCGCTCTCACTCGGCATCATGTCATTGGCGAGGATGAGACTGAGCAGGTGCAGGCCGCTCAAGTTGTCCTTGGACGCCATTTGCCGGCTGCTCATGTTGTCCACAATCACCTTGAACGGGACCTTGTCTTGCACAGCATCCCTGTTGTGCGGTTGGTGCGTGGGTTGTTGCGTGGGTTGTCGTGAAACAGACAGTTTGGTGACGATGGCAACGAAAGACATGGTGACTGCCCTTTGAACACACCCAACGTGCACACTGTGAAGCAGCATCAAAAGCACGCGCGCCAAAGCTCACACACTGACACATACACTAGCACACATCCACACACAGACACACACTCACTTCCACCGCTCGAGGAGGAGGCGGATGATGTTGACGTTGTTCTTGAAGACGGCCGTGGTTTCGTGGCGCGCGTTCTCCATGAGAAACTGCACCAGCTGGCGCGCCAGCCGCTTCTCGCTGTCGTCCTGCGGCACCGCAGTGTCTGCCCACGTGAGCAGCAGCAGACACAGGTCCGTCACAAAGTAGTTGAACCCGGGCGTCTCTGGCTCGTCCTGGAACTTGAGAATGAGCAGCATAATGGGCCGCAGCCAGCGCGACGACCACGGCTGAAACGCGTCAGGCATGTTTGTGATGAGCTTGGCGATGAACAGGCGCACGTTGTGCGACGTGGACGTGCTCTCGAACGACTTGAGCAGGTTTGACATCCATGATGGCATGGTTGAGCTTGGGAGGATCAGGCCATCCTCGTTGCGCTGCGGTTTGCTCTCCGCATGCACCGCCTGTATCCGCTGAATCAGCCCCATCAACGACACCTGTGTGTATGTGTGTGTGAGCGTGTGTGTGTGTGTGTGTGTGTGTGTGTGTCGGGAAAGAGGTGCACAAACGAAAGTACATGACAAGCACACACACACACACACGCATACTCACACAGACTCGCACACACTCACATACACTCAAATACACTCACACTCATATCCAATCAGACGCACCATGGATTCGTGGGAGTTGAGCTCGTCCATCTCCATCTGGCTGTCCTCCACAACATACACGGGGATGTTGCTGGGCGCACCGGGCGAGTCTTCGCTTGCATCCATGTCCAAACCAAAAGTGGGGCCATCAGATGAAGGCGGCGATGATGATGATGATGATGCATCCTCCACTGCCTGGCTCTCGCCAACATCGGCCCCCTGCCGCAGCGCCTCCAGCTGCGCCGCATCCTGGCTCAGCGATGAGTCTGCAAGGATCTGAGAGGGCAGGTACCTGCGCGCAGCAGCGGTGGCAGCGGCGGTGGTGGATGGGGTGGCCTCACCCTCTCGAAGGGCAAGCACGCATTTGGAGCGAACACTCATGGCCGCAGGCAGCTCGGTCGTAAACGTGTATTTCCTGATTGCGGTGAGCACAATGGCAAGAGAGGTTAGAGAGAGAGAGAAGAGTGTGGGGAGGAGGGTTCGTGTATGACCGTGGATGAAGAACGTGTGTGTGTGTGTGTGTGTGTGTGTGTGTGTGTGTGTGTGTGTGTGTGTGTGTGTGTGTGTGTGTGTGTGTGTGTGTGTGCGTGTGCGTGTGTGAAAGAGGTACGTGCACGAACGCATGCGCACAAACAGCTTCGAGCCGCTATCATGAACGCAAGTGTCACTCACCTCTTCTCATCAATAAGATTGCTCCAAATCATCTGCGCAGGTGCAGCAGGAGCGAGACGTGAGAACCAACGACCGCTGCTGCACGAACACCAGGATACATCATCATCATCATCACACACACACACACACAACACACACCATCACACAAACACACACTCACACACAAATCACACACACAACACACAATCACGCACCTTGCCCGTTGCCTCCTTGAAGCAGAATGCCGAGTAGAACTTTTCCTGCGTCTGCGTCTTGCAGATGACGGTGGTGAGCGCGTTGTAGGCGGCACAGCTCGCCTGTCGTCGCAGCTCAACAAGCGACTCCTCCCCCGTCACCGTCTGAACGAACAAAAACAAAATGGCGTTGGTGCAGCACAAGCAGATGCGATGGAAGTGTGAGGGATCAAGGTGGATCATTGGCTGACGCACGGAGCGAATGGCAGTCACGAGAGGGAACTGACAACAATCGGAAATTGCCAACGATGTGGTGGTGCACGACACGTGTGTGTGTGTGTGTGTGTGTGTGTGTGTGTGTGTGTGTGTGTGTGTGTGTGTGTGTGTGTGTGTGTGTGTGTGTGTGTGTGTGTGTGTGCGTGTGGTGCACCTTTGTGCTGAAGATGACGTCACGAAGAGCGCGGCAGGTGTTGGTGGTCAGGTTGCTGCCTTTGTCGTTAACGGGCTCCCCGGCTGCTTCGCAGTAGGTCTTGTTGATGACCGCCGCTAAGAACATGGAAGATGAAGCAGCAGCAGCAAGGCAGCACGTGAGGCGATGATGGAAAGGGAGAGGGTCACAGCATCAGCTACCGACACAAGTACACCCACAACCACAACCACAACCACAGCCACAGCCACAGCCACAGCCACAGCCACAACCACAACCACAACCACAACCACAGCCACAACCACAACCACAACCACAGCCACAACCACAACCACAACCACAGCCACAGCCACAGCCACAACCACAACCACAACCACAACCACAACCACAGCCACAACCACAACCACAACCACAGCCACAGCCACAGCCACAACCACAACCACAACCACAACCTCAACCACAACAACCACAACCACCATCACACAACCCGAAACCACAATTGCAAACACGTTGGTGGGGTTGTGTTGATGCGACGTGACAGCGTACATTTTCCGTAGAGATCAGTGGTGTTGAGGCGCTGGAAGAGAATGTCAATCAGCGTGAACGTGCACATCTTGATGACAATGGCTGGCGTGGACGTGAGCGGGGTGTCCTGTGACATGAGCGACATGATGGCTGGCAGGCGCTTGATGTAAAACGCACTGCACATGCTCAACTTGCACGCCTGTAGGAACGTGGCGAGCACTCGCTGGGCAACGCCGCGCCGCACAAACAGCGGGTTTGTCTCTGCCAGGTAGATTTGAAACATGAGCTCAATGGCCTGTGGTGCGTCCGTGTGCTCCTGCACAATGAAATCGCGCAGCTTGCGTTGGATGTGGTCCTCGTGCACGTGCGTGCGGTCCTCTCGCTGGTGCACGGTCACCACCACCTCCAATAGCTCCAAACTGCCGGAGAGCACCAGCGCGTCGAGAATGTCGTCCAGCGCGGCAATGTACTCGCGGTGCTGTGTGCTGTCCACCGCATACTCCCGCGACCGCAGCGGGAACGACGCCTGGCAGAAGGCGTTGAGGCTGGCGGCACACTCCGTGCGCACGTGCTGCGTGCCTTTGCACAGCGGGCCCAGCAGCTGCAGCGCCACGCGCTTGCTGGTCATGTCCACGGCGCGATCCTCAAGGAACCGCTTGTACACCTCCAGCACCTGCTCAAAGTTTGCGTGACGCTGGGCCGTCTCTGGCCGCACACCGCAGCGCACAACAGCGGAGACGAGCCGCATGCCTTGCACGTGTGTCTCGCTGCCGGCGCCCGCGCTGTTGATCCACGTGCGCACGTGCAAAAACCCGTCGAGGAATGCGGTGAAGAACTCGTCAGCATAGCGGCGCATCTCAGTGTCACCCGTCACCAGGGCGCGCGCGGCGTCGTGTACGAGGCGGTACACGCGCCCGTCCCCGACGTGCGGCAGCAGCTGCTCTGCAAACACCTTAAAGTGGCGGGCAATGTAGGGCGCGAGCACGGTGCGGTACGTGTCGTAGAACAGCGCGCCGCGCGTCGTCTGTGTTGCGCTCTTGCTGGCAGAGGCGAGCATGGTGGAGAGGGAGTGGCCCGCCTGTGGCGTCGGCGTGTCGTCGCGCAGCATGGCCAGCAGCTGCGATTTGGGCACGCTGAGCGAGAGGGCGAGGTCTGCCAGGAGACCGGCCATTGCCAGGTTCGTCGGCTCCGGCGTGCTGGTGTGGCTGTACTCAAACAGCGCAGCAAACAGCTCGCGGCCAAATGCGTCGCGGTCTGTGAAGAAGCACTCGTCGAGGAGGTCCGCAGCCAGCAGCTGCTGCACCCCAGACACCACGTTCTTGATGAGCGGGGCGGGGATGTCCCGGCCAGGCAGCACGTCACGCACCATGCGTAGCAAATCGCACTCGTCAGACGCAAGCGTGGTGCGCATGGCTGCCACGAGGTTTGTGCGCGGCTCCCCAGACAGCTGCCGTCCCAGCTCACTCAACAGCGCACCTGTGGTGTGTGCGTGCGTGCGTGCGTGTGTGTGTGTGTGTGTGTGTGTGTGTGTGTGTGTGTGTGTGTGTGTGTGTGTGTGTGTGTGTGTGTGTGTGTGTGTGTGTGTGTGTGTGTGTGTGTGTGTGTGTGCGTGTGTGTGTTTGGGGATGGCGTAGGACAATGGTAAGGGTCGGATTCTGTTTGTGTGTGTGTGTGTGTGTGTGTGTTGAAGCATACATGTCCTGTGCTCTGCGCTGTCGTCTGCACTTTCCATATTCCTCACACACGTCCACACACACGTCCACACACACACACGTCCACACACACGTCCACACGTACGTGTACATTAACACACACCCACACAGAGCGAAGCCAGCACCACACCGGTCTTCTTTGGCAGCTTCTCCTCAATCTCCGGGTCGCTCGGGTCAAAGTCGAGCATGATGGGCATGAGCACGGCCTTGCAGATAAAGTCCAGGCACTCGCCGCTCCACAGCTTTGTCGGCAGCGCAGACGCATCCACACGCAGCACCGTGCGCACAAAGTCAAGCACGCGCACCATCACGGTGCACTTGAGGTAGCGGTATGCGGCTGCCTCGGCCGGCGTGTCGTGGCGCTTGAGTTCGGACCGCCGCGGAAACGTGCTCAGGAAGTGCGCCAGCGCGCCCCACAGCAGCATCTCGCAGTCAACAAGCAGCGCGCGCGGGGTGAGCAGGCGGTGTGACAGCACGAGCTGGTACGCTTCGAGCGTGGCCTGCAGCCGCTCCAGCCACTCGTGGATGCTGGCCCGGCTGTGCTCCAGCGGCTTCACCGAAACCCCCAGCAGCGGCTGCGGCGCGCTGCCTTGCTCGACGAGCGCTACCAGGGCCGGCGCCCCAAACGCAGCCACCCACGCGTGCGCAGTGGCGTATGGTTTGCCCGTCTCCGGGTCGGTGTCGAGGGGAGCGAGGTGGAGGAAGAAGGCCATGGCCTGGTGCCGCACAGCAGCGTGGAGGTCACACGCGTGTGTGAGGGACCAGCGGGTCATCTCGGCAAGCGTGCACGTCTCCCATCCGGGCGGAATGCGGCGAACGCGCGACGTCCGACGGAACTTGTCAGCCTGGTGGTGGTGGTGGTGGTGGTGGTGGTGGTGGTGGTGGTGGTGGTGGTGGTGGCAGCGATGCAGGGACAGCAGGGAAAACGTGGTTAGAGCGGGCAGAGATGACGAAAAGGCAAGCTCGCTCATGCACATGTGAAGAGTAAGCTTGCTCACGCATACCTTCGCAAAGCAACATCCAAAACATGAAGCACGCAAGGACACACACGCACGCACGCACACACACACACACACACACATGCACGCACACGCACACACACACCTTCTTGAGGATGATGCGCCTGAGGTTGGTGAGGACGCGCTCCGTGTGTGTGGCCGTGCCCATGGCCGGGTCATCGCGATGCGCAAGCTGAAGGCTGCGCATAAACACGTCTGTCAGCTCACACACGTACACGTCCACCAGCGTGTCCGATTCGCGCAGGCGCGTGTAGATGTTGTTCATGGCCAGGGCGGCACCCATGCGCTGAAAGGCGTTTGGATGTGCAGCCATGCTCATGATGCGTTTGAGCAGCACCTTCACCAGGCCACCCGTCTCCAAGAGCTTGTCGGTCGAGTGCTTGTACGCCCACACGTAAAACTCCTTCACACATGTGGCGCAGAAGTCGCGCAGGGCGCTGTTCTTTGCGTCGGCCAGGCCCGTCAGGATAGCGTCCAACAGCAGCACCACCTCCTCCCGCTCCGTGCGGCTGCTGCTGAACCAGTGGATGATCTGCATGACCAGCGGGCTGAACAGCTGCTTGGGCACGAGATCAACGTCGCACGCCAGCCGCAGAACCGCGGGTAGAACGTGCCTATACAGTGGCGAGAGGTTATCCTCGCCAGCAGCGTGGGTGCCGGAGCCCGCGCCCTGGCCCAACATGTACAGAACCATGGCGTGCAGCAGCTCACACGCCGCCGTCTAACAAAAGTGTGCATGTGGTGTGCATGTGGTGTGCATGTGGTGTGCGTGTGGTGTGCGTGTGGTGTGAGTGTGGTCTTGGCGTGGGGCACACACACGCGTCAGTTGCTTCGCACAAAGAAAAGGATGGCTGAGGGAAACAAGCAAGGCAAGACATGACACGCCATGCAACAACAGCGCACACCACACCACACCACAAACCAACACGCCATACCACACGCCACCACACCACACGCCACATCACAGCACGACACACTGTACCCTGGTCTGGCGGTCGCCGGAGTGGAGGGCGAGCTCCACAATGCGCGGCAGCATGGGATCAAGCTGCACCTCAGGCTTCATCTCCTGGAACGGAACTGCAAACTTGAGGTGGTTTGTCATGTCCCAGGCTACCCACGGCGGCGTCTCACCCTCACCAACGTCACTGCCACCACCTGCGCCCTGGTGCTCGAGAGCAGCGAGCTCGTGGTTGTGCTGTCCGCCCATTGCGCCCAACAGCCGCAGGATGCGCATCTTGAGGGCAGCAAACGGGTTGTCGCTGTCGACGGCAACCACGGCGGCCTGCTCGCGCTTGCGGGTGATGCTGCGAGAGAGCAGCTTCATCTCCTCCTCCACGTCAATGTCGCTCGCAGCAACAGCGGCGCTGAGGTACTTGTCCAGCAGCGGCATGAGCTGTGCAAACGGCCGACCAGCAGCGAGCGCTGGCGGCAGCCACGTCTCCAGCGCACTCAGCCCGGCGTCGGCCAGCGGATAGAACCTGAGGGGTCGCCATGCGCACGCACGTGCCCGGGAGAGGGGTGATGAGTGAGATATTAACGTTGCGTCGGAAAGCAAATGTGAAACAACATAAGCACACGCACACACTTACACACGAACAAACAAACAAACAAACAAACAAACAAACGAACGAACAAACAAAACAAACAAGCAAACAACAAACAAAACAAAACAAACAAACAAACGAACAAACAAAACAAAACAAAACAAAACAAAACAAAACAAAACAAACAAACAAATGAACAAACAAACAAAACAAACAAAACACACACGCACGCAGACGCACACACAAGTTACACCGTGGCCTACCCAAGCCCGAGGGAGAGCGCTGTTTCGACGGCGGGAAAGAACACGGCAAAGTCGCGCTTGACCACCGGCAGGGGAAGTGACAGCACAAATGTCAGGCAGGCAGACAACAGCTCGTCCTTGTACTGCTTGCTGCGCACCATCACCTCTTTGCCAAACTTGGACATGAGCTCCAGCGTTGCCGCCACCTCGAGCATGTTCCCCGCAGCCGTCTCTGCCGTCTTGGATGCTGCTTCGAAGTAGCGCTGCTCCGTGGCAATGGTGTTGGCCAGCTCAAGCAGCTTGTACAGCGAGCTCACCAGCGGGTACTGCACGCAACACAGAACGCGCACGAGAGCACAGGCGCACGCGGAGGGCGACGTGTGACGCACACAAACAAAACCAAACCAAAACAAAAACAAAACAACACAGCAAAACACAGCACACAAGACAAGCAAACAAGAAATATGTTGAGGGTGTGCTGTCCTCAAGGGCACATGCTCAGCCCGTGAACACTACGTCAAAGACTTGCGCCAAGGACGAACCTTGGAGGAGCGTGTGACAATGTCAGAGTAGTAGATGTGCAGCCAGCGAGGGAAGAGGTCAGTGCGGGTGGTGGAAAACAGGTCCTGGCCAAACGTCACCAGGTGAATGAGGACTTGGATATCTTTTGGTCGTGATGCAATCAGCGACGTGGTGGGATCGGACACGTCGTCCACCTCGTGCGGCTCCTCTTCCTTCACGCCGCTCGTTGCAACGGCAACATCTACAGCCAGGGAAACCAACAAGCAAAGAAAAACAAAAGAACCAAACGTCAAAGCAAACGTCCATTGCACGCGCACGTGTGGTGCGTGCAAGATGAGCATGAGAAGGTGTCACAACCGTGACCCACAACAACACAACAACTGGCCGAACCAGCGGAGACATTTAGACAAGCGCATTATCACATAAGACAGGCACATGGGCACAACCAACTGCAAACTCCACCACAAACAAAGCAAGCATGGCGTGATGAAACGGGGAGCGGGGTTACCTTCATCCTCTGCGTCGGAGGATGAGTGTGTGGTCAAGTTGAGCTTGTTGATCAGATGCAGGAACGCCTTGAGCGTCTCGTCGTACAGCGTGCGCAGCCTGATGGTGGTGGTGGTGGTGGTGGTGGTGGTGGTGGTGGTGGTGGTGGTGGTGGTGGTGGTGGTGAACACAGTGGGTGAAAATATCCAGACTTCACTCGATTGTATGCATTACAACCGTCACTCGAAGACAGCACGACCACTGCATCATCATCACCATCATCATCATCATCATCATCATCATCATCATCATCATCATCATCATCATCATCATCATCATCATCATCATCATCATCATCATCATCATCACCACCACCACTACATTTGCGTTCACAAACGGTGCACTCCCTCTACCTTACATTGCGTTCCTGTCCTCGTGTGTCATCTCCTCATCAGGGATCTTAACGAGCCCACTCCCCTTGAGCAGCTGCCGCAGCAGTGCGAGGTAGCTCTGAGCCACTGCATCCTCTGCCATGTCCTCTGTGTCGCGAATGCTCTGCGAACACGCGCTCAGAAACACCTGCGACGTGTGCGACGGTATGTGAATGCAATTGGTGCACGGAATGTGTGAATGCAATAGGAGTATGGTATGCTGTGCGTAATCTCACGTGGGATTGCAGCCATGGGTGTGTGAGCAGTGGTGAAGACACAATTGCACAGCATGCTCCCGTACATGGTTGGCGACTTTGGCGAAGAAGGTTTGCAGCGTGGATCCCTTGTGGTACAGACTGACAAAGCAGCGCGTCAGCGACAAGTGCACACTCGCCCGCTGGTGGCATTCGCCAGTTGGGTGGTGGTGGTGGCGGTGGTGTCATCGGCAACGTGTTGTGAACAACGAGCAAGAACAAGTCCAGCAGCAGGAGCGGCAGCAGATGTGATGTTCATGCGCGCACACACGCACGCACACACACACACACACGCACACACACACGCACACGCACACACACACACACACACGCACGCACGCACACACGCGCACGCACACGCACACACGCAAGTGTGCACCAAGCAATGCAGCAGCCATTTCGGACGACTGACCTGCGTTCTGTACATGGACGGGTAGGCCTCAAGAAGCAGAACAATCAACCGCTCCAAGATGGGCAAGAACACATCGCCAGACTGCACAAACCAAAAAGTACAGCAGTGTGGGCCCAGCAAACGCAACAGAAATAATAATGTGCGGTGTGAGACATGTGCAAGCAGCAGAGGCTGTGGCGGTGGCTGTGGTTGTGGCTGTGGCTGTGAATCACACACATACACACGCGCGCGTGTACACAAACGAACGCCAGGGCACGAAACTGCATGCTTGACCTCCTCGAGTTGTTGGATGAGACGCGCAATGGCGTCAATGTAACTGGCAAGGTGAATGGCACTCTCCTCCTGCACGGCAGCGGGAAAACGGAAACAGGAGAGCGTAAGTTGGGTGGTGATGGTCGTGGCAGTGATGTTGGTGGTGGTGGTGGTGGTGATGGTGGTGGTGGTGGTGGTGGTGGTGGTGGTGGTGGTGGTGGTGGTGGTGGTGGTGGTGGTGGTGGTGGTGGTGAGACGGTGGAGCGGTCTATGGAGCAATCTGACACGTTTCCACCCCTTGCATCGACGCCATACCAACACCATTGGGTGCACAGTCATGAGCATGCGTGATCGCAAGTGCAGCGAAAGCCCTGACCTGTTCATCGTCACCCATATGGAAGTAGAGCTGTTGGCATCGACGAGCAAGGTCGTCTGACATGAGCCGCAGGTCGTCCACACCGCACAGCAGCTTGCACGGCGCTGCCAGGTACCCGTACCCGCGGATGGCAATCGCCACCGCTCGGTGGCTTGCAGCCTTCGTGGTGGGAATGCCACGCAAGGGCGAGAAGAGGGTAGGTAAGAGCAGGAATGTGGGGGGGGGATTGGACACAAAAAGAAAAGAGAGAAAGAAAGAGAGCAATGTGTATGCGCCAGCGATGATGACGAGGAGAAGCCACACACACACACACACACACACACACACACACACACACACACACACACACACACACACACACACACACACACACACACACACACACACACGCACACACACACACACACACGCACACACACACACAATCGCCAGTGAGCAAAGCAACGGACCTGCGTGCAGTGCAAAGAGATCAAGTGCGGCCCGCGGGACCTGAAACCGCGTCATCTTGACGGTCACGTCCGGGTTGATGGCCATCTTCACGTAGTTGTAGATCTGCACGCCAGGTGTTGCCTGGCGCGCACCTGACGGCAGTGATGAATGGGATGAAGAGGTGAAAGGGTGAAGGAGTTGATGGGATGGATGTGTGACAGGTGCTGTGGGAGGAGAAGAAGGCACGCAAGGAGGTAGAGAGCGTGAAGTGCACAAACAAGCGCCTGTGCTCACTTGGATCGCATGAGACGGGGTTGGTCTTGAGGTATGCGGTGAGACCACGGAAGCAGCCCTCAACCGTCGGCAACTCCGGCGCTTTCGTGCCCGTCATCTTGGGGATGAGCGGCCCAGTAACACGTGCAGTGTGCAGATGAGAACGGAGGGTGGGAGTGTGTGTGTGTGTGTGTGTGTGTGTGTGTGTGTGTGTGTGTGTGTGTGTGTGTGTGAAAGAGAGTGAGTGAGCAACCAACGCGGTGACATCGAGTAGGCCGGCAGACACTTGGCCACGCACACGTACACATGCACATACACATATACATACACATACACATACACATATACATACACATACACACGCCGTGCACCTGTTTGCGCAGTTCGGAGAGGTAGACGTTGAGGACGCTTGTTGAGAGGCTGGACGCGGCAAAAGCCGGGGAGAGGGAGATGATGAGCCCGATGGCATGCAGCATGTCCCGTTTCACTGATGGCAAACACACACAAAAGCTCGCGTGAGCTTGCGTGCGTGTGTCTACGTGTCCTTGCGTGTGTGTGTGTGTGTGTCTGTGTGTGTCTGTCTGTCTGTGCGGGTTTGTCACAGACACGAGCTGCACCATTGGTATGCAATTTCAAACACATTCACGCACATGCATAGCAACATGCCTGTTTGTGTCAGCTTCGACGCAGACGAGTGGAATGGATCCAGGTACCTGCCACCCAATGCACAACACGGGTGAGTAAAGCAACGGTGCATCCCAGCCTTCCTGTCAGCACACAAGCACACACACATACGCACGCACGCACGCACGCACACACACACACAGTGGGACCGCCAGCAAGCTACTGCTGTATCAGGGGTCGCGGAGCGCTCACTTCTTGAGGAGGTCGTCTGCCTTGAGCTCGCGCAAAAGCTGGCCCCGGTTCTCATCCGTAAACAGCTGCTCATGGCTGAACAGCTGTCGACGTACGCGCGTGATGTGGGGAAAGCGAGAGGAAAGAGGTGGTGGGAGGTGTCATTGCTCGTATTGCAGGCAAGCAAGGGCTACAACTGCACAAGAGTCCAACGCCACACACACACACACGCGCGCGCACACACACACACACATACACACACACGCACGCACGCACGCACACATATATGCACATTCAGACGTACAGACGTACCGCGATGAGTGGCTTGAAGGAGAGGGACTTGACCTTTGCTCGCTTGTCGCGGAAGCACGTGAGGCAGGTGTCCTGTGCATGCGAGCGCGCGTATGAGTGCTGCAGCAGCAAAGCACACAGCAAAAAAAGCCATCGATTCGGCCAGGATCGTACAAGCAAGCGAACGGGCGAGCAAGGGTAGCATGGCGCGTGGCATGGTCACCTTGATCCTGACAGCATATGGTGTCAGGCGATCCGCTGGCAAGCGCTGAATGAACCCCGCCAGGAACTCCAACGCAGCCACCTTACATTCTTCATACTACATGATTATGTGTGTGTGTGTGTGTGTGCGAGTGTGGGTGTGTGTTTGTGTGTGTGTGTGGGGGTGGGGGGTGGGGGGGGGTGGTTGGGGGTGAGGGGATGCACGTCAGTGCAGACCAGCAGTAGCAGTGGGGAACGCAGCGAGGTGTATCAGCAGCAGTTCATGTGCCACCACCAACACCAAGCGGCGCTCACCAGCTCCAGTCCAAGTTGCCGAAGGAAGGAGAGAACCCCCTGATCGGACCCAAGCAAGATGGACGCAGCAAGTGCTGTACGTGGACGCATGTGTGTTTGTGTTGGTCACAAACGTGAGCGTGTATCCGTGCCAGTGGCTGATGGCAGAGAAAGCCACGACACGCCCCGCGCGTGTCAAGACTATTGACCAGCCAAACAACCCGCAAGGACGACACTGAGGTACAGACTCGTCCATATTGCCACCACATCATCGCCACAGGTCACTGACATCATCACAACACATCACTGAACATTCCCCTTCTTCCACAATGAGCTCCCCTGCATTACCGAGCTCGGGCGGGGTGGTGAGTGTCCGAGTGTACGCGGCAATGTCAGCGACAATGGCAGCAGCCGCGATGAACCTGCGAGGGGAAGCAGACAGCCGCTGCTCCTCCAAGTTGCGACACAGCCGCTCAAGCTCGGAGCGCGCCGCAGCCATGTTTGTCGCTTTGCTCGCTGCGCTGGCCGGGGCTGTTTGTTTCTTCTCTTCTTCTCCTTGTTGTAAAACTTTAATGGTGTCGCTTGCCCCGGTGGTGGGGTTGCCCGCAAGCGACACACCGTGGTCGCCAGACCACTTGGGAAAAGCAGGAAGCAGAAGAAGAAAACACAAGCAAGACAGTCAGGCCCGCGGCCCCGTTACACATTACGCAAACAAATTAAATCACACATTCACACGACCCAAGCCCGTGGGTGGGTTGCACTTGTCGGGTACGTGGACCCTCCAAAGAGTGGGGAAAGCGTTTGTATAAGTAGGTGGGTCACACGTCGTGGCCTTGAGGCCGGCTGGAGAGGGGTACCCACTATCGAACTATGCAGTGGGTGGTTGCTGACGCCGCTGCCGCCGGCTGCAAGACGGCGCGTCTGTCGCTTGGTCCTTCCCCATTGACCGCGTCGGAGGCGCTGCGGCCGGTCTCCGAGGGTTGGGTCGCGGGCTGGCGGGCTCGGCGGCCTCCGCGGCCGGAGCGTCCGTTGTGTCGTGGCTGTTGTTGTTGTTGTTGTTGTTGGTGGTGGTGGTGGTGGTGGTGGTGGTGGTGGTGCGGTTGTCTGCCTTTGTCGCCTCTTTCTACGTCCGTCTCCGCGGCGGGGCGGTCGGTTGCGCTGCGCCCGCTGACCTCTGGCGGCCGTGGCCCAGGTGTTGGTGTTGCGTTCGGTGGGAAAGATGGAGTGCGTCTGGACTCCGCGCCGGCCCCGCCGTCCTTGCCGTAGCGACACGTCATGGTGGCTTCGTGGCTGCGCTTCTGGAAGGCGTTGGAGGGCGTAGCTGGGTGTTGCGTGGTTGTGTACGTGTACTGGAAGGTCGGCGTTGTAGACGACGCGTTTGATGAAGCGAACAAAGAACTCGCCCAGGCGGCCCGTGGCGTTGTTGTCCGCCGTCCACATAGCCTCCCTTCTCGCATACGGCCGAGAGGCCGCTGCTGCAGAGGAATGCGGCGATGTCGCCGTTAAGACGATCGTGTCGCCTTTTGCGGATAGATTGGCAGCTTTCCTGGTGGAACGCGCTCTCCGTTGGCTTGTGACATGCCCTGCACGAGGCGCGAGGGTGGTACCCGGCCGCTGGAACTCGGATACGCGCACTGAGGGAAGTCCGGAATTGTGCATCGTTGAGGGTGAGTTCTGGGCAGCTGGGCATCACGGTGAGCCAGTGGAAGGACCCGGGGCCGCCTGCGCTGAGCTGGAAGGCGCGGACGGTGCGCTTGTGGCTGTAGGGGGTGCGTTCATCCAGGATCCTGGTCAGGGTGCGCTGAAGCTTTCTCCCGGCTTTGAGGACCTCGTCAATCGTGGTGACGCCGCCCTGTTCCTTGTCGCGTGTCGTGCACGCGAGCCGCGTCAGTGCCGTCGACATCTCGGTCCTGAGCGCGTTGCTGGGGAGGCCGCGCTCAAAGGGGTGTCGCGTGCTGTTGAAGAAGTCGCGTATGGCGCCGAGAAAGGCGGCGGGGGCAGCCGACTCCTGGGATCGGAGGAAGGGCCCGCCACGTTGATAGGGCCGCAGGCAGCGTTGAAGCGACTCATCCTTAAGCGGGTTCGTGTGCCCCAACATCCTGGCCAGGGACAGGGCGATGAGCTCGTCGAGCTTGCGGCACGCCTGCATGCAGTGCGCGGTGGTGCGCATCGTGTAGTTCTCCTTGGCCACTACACAGTACCTCAAGAGGACGAGGATGCACTGCAGGGGTAGGTGGCGGAAGGCCTTGTTAGTGGTGGCTGCAGCGCGGTCGACCCTGTCAACGGGGGCGGCGCTGAAGAGGGAGGAGGGGGGGCTCCCGAGGACGGAGGCGGGCGTCGTCACGCAGAACGGCGTGTACCTCTGTGTGTGTGTGTGTGTGTGTGTGTGTGTGTGTGTGTGTGTGTGTGTGTGTGTGTGTGTGTGTGTGTGTGTGTGTGTGTGTGTGTGTGTGTGAAAACACGATACAGTGGGTTAGTCCGCAGCAGTGTGTGTGTGTGTGTGTGTGTGTGTGGAGACTCACTGTTGCGTGCGCTGCATTGGCTGGATGAGGCGATCCGGTCCAATTGCTCATCCTGACACGACGGTGAAGGTGAGGAGGAAGGGTGACAAGACGAAGGTCTACTCGGGCTAGTAATGCCGCGCAAGCGCGTTCACAAGCCGCGGATGACCGCCAACGCGTGTGTACTGGTGATGCATGCCTGGCTCAGCAGCTGTCGGGAGTTGTCACACACATACACACACACACACAAGGAAGAAGCAAGACCAGCGCTCGCATGAGGTGGGAGCAAGAGCAGCGCTCGCATGAGGTGGAAGCAGCAGCAGCGCTCGCATGAGGTGGGAGCAAGAGCAGCGCTCGCATGAGGTGGAAGCAAGAGCAGCGCTCGCATGAGGTGGGAGCAAGCACCTTCAACACAAAGGAAGAAAACGTAGTGAGTGAAGACAGTGCAGCGATGCAGTACACGTGCAGCAGTGGAATCGGCCTCACGTACCCGTTTGCATGCAAGACAGAATAAAAGGGTGCGACTGGAATCGATGGCAAGCCCTGAAACAAACCGCGAAGGGAAAAAGATTGTGTGTGTGTATGAGGCGGGGGGATGAGCAGTGGCTGTAACCACAAAAGTGCAGCAGGGCAACCACAAAACGCACGCACACACGCACACACACACACACGCACCGAAACACACGCACCGAAACACACGCACACAGAAACACACACACACAACAAACACACACACAAACCTGAGAAAGGTTGACGGCGCCATGCTTCTGGGCCAGTGGCGCGAATTCCACCCACACAGTGTCTTCAAAGCCACTAGCTCGTGCAGCCAGTCTGTTCTTGTCGCAGCACAACCTGCTGCTCGAGAGGCTTCGCGACAGAACAGCAGCACTGCACCACTGCGATGCCCGTGCCTGCTGCAGCAGCCGCCGGCCCACAGCACCAACAACAGCACCACAACTGCCTCTGCTTGGATGTTATGCGTTAATGTAGCATCAAATCGTACCATCTTCCCGCCGCTCAAATTTCAAATTTACAACACACCCCTGTCGACACATGGTCATCCCACACACGCACGTCAACAACACACAGCAATGTTCGCAGTGGCAGCAGCAGCATCTTGTGAGCGCCGCCCCAGTGGCGATGCGCAAGCGACAAAGGTGATGGCACATGTACTCATTTTCTTGTCGATCACACATTTTTGCATGTCCAGTTGTAGGTATTCCATGTGCTCCACGCGTCGACACACACACACACGCACGCACAGACGCACACACACAGACGCACACACACACACACGCACCCACACCCACACCCACACCCACACACACACACACACACACACACACACACACACACACACACACACACACACACACACACACACGCACGCATCGACACACACATGCACAACTCACGCACGCACGCATCGACACACACACACACACACATGTGCCTTGACGCTGCATCAGCGTTAGCTGCATACAACCCACAGAGCATCGACACCTGCCATCTGATGTGTCATTCGCGCCTCACCTGCCACCGCTTTGGTCGCTTCCTCAGGTACCATCCTCAGCGGATTCCACGAGTGAAGACACCATGCCAGCCCCACCGCAGCTGACGGCAACACAGGTACGCTTGTTGGCTCTGCCGTGCCAATGCGCTTTTGCACTGCATGACATCTCATATGGGCCGACACATTGTTTCAATCATTACTCTTTTCTCCTGACGCCTCGTCTTCCCGGCTTGAACGGTGCAGGTCATGGTGCTCCAAAGAGCCGCCATGATTTTGTCGAAGAAGTACGACGCTGCTTGCAAAGGACTTGACGTTGAGACATCTCTTCGTGCTTTCGGTTCTGACGCGCTGAAGCGCTTGCGACAACAAGTCATACATATCGCCGTCTTATTCCCAGACCTTGACATTGTAGTGGACGCGCTGAATCCGTTCACGACTGGTGCACATGCGATATTGTCAGCGTGGGACGCTGTGGAGCTGCAATTGTCCAAATGCACACCTCCCAAGCTGGACACATCTGCGCTCAACAAGCGGCTGAGTAAGTGCATGTTTGAGTTGATGTCCTGCGACGGCTGTTTGCGACGTGCTTCTCATGCCTTACCATGACTCACACCCAACGAAT